ATATTAATTGCAGCAGAACACTAAACATTATAGACAGTTCAAATTCTATTCGTCAACAAAGTATTCACTTTTAGGGGCTAAACTTTATGGGGTAGAACAATGAGCCAAACGTGTGCAAGCTCATATTAGAAAAAATATATGTATTACAATCCTATACGAAATTAGTGATGTTCAATTCAGTGAATAGCTGAATATCTATATTCAAGTAGACTAAGTGATATTCAATTCAGTGAGGCCATGTCAAGGAGTGTTTGCTCTGAGGATCTGTTGGGAGAGAGATGAGAAAAAATGGCTTTTTTAATTCAAAGAAGCTTGTTCTAAGAACAGAAAGGTGTTCTTAAAGTATGCAGAGCACAGCTCCTGGAATTCTTTCCAAGTTCTTTACCAACAGTGGTCATAGAAGGTACCTATATCTTCTGTGTAAAAAGTTACTGACATGTTGCATTTATAGATGGTTTCATTTTTATTTTGTGTTGTATCTTTGCTTGTGTGTGCAGGAAGTCCTCAACTACCATAATTGGGACCAGGAACTCCACTGCTAAGCAAAGCAAAAAATCATGTGACTGCGAATTGATGACAGTTCCAGCACTTCTGGTTATGGTCGTTAAACGAATCATGTGCGGTCATTAACCGCGATGTCACATGACTGTGAATTGTGACCTCCTGTTGGCTTCCCCATTGAATTTGCTTGTTGGAAGCCAGCAGTGAAGGTCACAAATGGCTATCACGTGACTGGGGGGCACTGTGACCATCATAATTGCATGCCAGTTGCCAAGTGTCTGAATTGTGATCACATGGCCGTGGGGATGCTGTGATGGCTGCAACTTTGAGGACCAGCTGTAAATCTTGTTCAGCACCGTCGTAACTTTGAATGGTCGCTGAATGAGTGGTCTCTAAGCAAGGACTACGTGTATGCCCTCAGAAGCACAGGGAAGCTACATAGGGTATGCTCTAATCACATGACCAGGAGTTCTCTGAGTAAGCAAACAGGACCAAGTTTTCTGTTTATTATTAAGAAATGCTATCCAGCATTTTAATCTGTCAGTCTTACATTCCCAAACTACTATATTTCCGAAGGGTTCCAATTTAACTTTAAATTGTATTATTTAAATTAGATTCCTGAATTTGGGATATCAAAGTGTTGAAAGTGGTTCATAGGATTTCAGTGTTTGAGAATCTCTGTTAAGTTGCAATTGGTGTTGTCACTCACTGTGTTTTTAATCTTTGTTGAAATAAATGCAGCTTTTTAAAAATGTTCTGATTATTATAACATTTATCATTTTGAAAGACTATCATGATGAATTATTTCAGAACTGGTTATTGCCTTGTAAGGAAGAAAGAGAAATCCCAAAGAATTAAGACACAAAAGAGTTAATGGAAAGCTTGACCTGTCAATCTAGATAGAGGGGAAGGACCATAAGAGTCTGGGAAAATCAAATTCTGAAGAACCAGTCAGGAGCAGAAAAATTAACCTGTCAGGTGGGCTTTCAAAAGAGGACAGGAAAATCCCATTCTGCTGTTGGCTTTTTTCTGTCTTCTATCACAAGAGGAGAGGACATCTCTTCCCAGCCTGGCTTCAGCTAGATGAGAAAGCCATACTCTCTGGGGAAATGTACAGCTAGAAGCAGCTAGGATCCTTTTCTTTGATTTATTTTATGGGTTGGTTCTAAAGTATTTCTTTGCATCCTTAGTCCTGTTTGTTCTACATATATTTTGTGTGTGTTTGAACATATATTCCTGCCTAGTAGATTAGCAGCTGAGTTAAAGTCTGCAGGAGTCATGGTTATTTCTTTTACTCTGTTTCCATTGTTTTCAATTCTCATTTAGTTCTGTAATCTTAATATACATAACAAAAGTACAGCTGTCTTTACTGAATCAGCACACTCATTCTAAGAGTCTTTAACTTTAGCATACTGTCAGGCCAAGATACTGAGAAAAAGAAGTCAGAAGAAATGTTTTACTCCATTCTTTGCAATTGAAGCAAGCACAGAGCGGAGGTTTGTTCTGGAATAGGGTGAATGATGATAGTATACAAAACAGCTTCTCTCCAGGAGCATGCAGAATTGCGGGC